TATGTGGGTTCCACGTTAGTCTTTTATCTAGAAGAAAGTCAAGATACCGGAGTGTGTCGAATAGAGGAAGAGGTATGGAGTTGAAATAGAGTGGTGGACAGGACTTGCTCCGAAGGGTAAAAGTGATAGTTTGGGTTTGGATTCATTTACTTGGATGTTCCAATTATTACACCAGTGTTCAATAAGAGAAAGGTGGCTTTGTAGGTTTAAGGGTGCTGTTTCAAGATCTGAATTGGAAGATAGGATGGCTGTGTCATCAGTGAATGTCGCCAGGAGGGTTTCGGGATGAATAGGACTATCAGTGGTAAACAGAATGTAGAAGACGGGACCCAAGACGCTGCCTTGAGGAACTCCTCGATTGAATGACAGTTGGAGGATTCTGTAACACAGCGAACTTGAAAGGAGCGGTCAGAGAGGCAGGATCGGAGTATTAGATGTAAGAACTGGGGTAGGTGGGTTTTAAGCTTGAAGGGTATACCTTTGCGCCATATGCGGTCGAAAGCTTGCGCAGAAATGTTCTCAAGCAATACTCTTTGCTTTCTTGGGCTGAGTATATGTGGTCAACAACTCAGAGTCCTTGTTGAACAGTGGAATGTTGCAAACTAACTCCGAATTGATGGTTAGGAAGATGTTGGAATTCTATTATGAATAGGATTATTTTCAGTCGGATTTTATCAAACATTTTTGAAAGGATTAGAAGTTAGGGGAGGAAGCAGTCAAGACTGCTTGTTGATTGGAGGTGGTAAAGGAATGGGGGCCTCTACATTTTTTTTAAACGAAAATTGGAGGAGGTCGAATTCTCTGTGAATGGGTGCAGATTCCATCGCCACTTTTTTCATTTTGCATTATTTCGTAAGGATTCTGGGTGAAAAAGGGAGACCCCTCAGGCGTCTCCTGAGATGTACCCGGCTGAGGTTGAGTGTCTTCTGCTACTTTAGGTGGGGTCGTTCTTTTCAATTGGCGATTTTGTTTTACTCTAGTGACGAACGTGGTGTAGATCCAGCAGAGCGTTGTTGTTGCACCTTCAGAAGACATGTGTAGATAGTAGTGCCTCATAACACATCAGAAGAAAATTGAAGGAAGAACTAAAATAAAAAAAAAAATGAAATTAAAACACGCTGCATGACCTTGATTTTGTATCAGCACCGCAAAACAACCTCTCCCAATGAAGGCTCCAGCCCAACTGACTAGCCTGAGACAGTTACTTATGGCTGCATGATAAGTGTATTACTGGCCTCTATACACCAGTTTTACTTCACACAATAAATAACAACTATACTCATTGTGGCATTAGTGCATATTATGGTCCAGGTGTTTAGCTCACAATTTTATAAAAAAAATAACAATAATTTTTCCCCAAAAAATGAATTCATCTAAGAAACAAAGTAACAGTGATATATTATAATCTAGCGTATGCGCAGAACTGCAAAGTTCACTAAAATGAAATTATGAGATTTCCATTCCCTGTCATAATTAGGCCAAAAGTTGTCACACTAATTTTAAATGGATAATGTTAAAATTATTCACTGATTTAATGTTCTAAAAGGTAATATGACGATTTTTCGGAATACACGGAGGTTGATATCTGATTATTTAAATAAAATATCAGATCTAGAGTTATTAAACTACGGTAAATGTATTTAAGGTTATAGATAGTATTTTAAACAATGGCATTGGCTTGATTCGGTGGATTTTAAATACTTTTTTTTCAAACTTAGAAATATATTTAAAGTTTACATTAAGTAAGAAAATTTCATTTAATTTCCTTGGAAACATTTAATTTACGTTAAATTATGTTAGGTTTCTGAAATTATTATTTATAAATTTCTTTCTCTCTATTGCCTTCTACAACTTTATTTATTTGATTTTTTTTTTTAATTTCCCGCATTTTAATGATATATTATACGCATATCTTCTGACTGTTATTTCTGGCGATTCATTTTCAACCTGGATAAGAATTTATTCTTTTCTCCAGTTTCCAATTATCATTTTCTTTCAAACTTCATATTTAGCTATTTTTTACTGTCAATAAAAGAGATTTAATTTTTTAAAATAAACCATATTAGAGGTACTTTAAGAGGAAGTCGTATATGAACATTGAGCATTTAAGCTCTGTAAAGTGCCATCAATGGGAATAATACCTAATTGATATTAAAGACCACTTAATTATACAATGATACACCGAGTTTAATCAAAATTGTTAGAGCAGTTTTTGAGAAAATTATAAAAATGTGTTTCACAGTTGATATAAAATGACACTTCCGATTATCCGATTTTAACGAAAAAGTTGCTGTCACATCGAAAGTATATAAAAACCTTAAATACGCAATTTAAGTTTCGTACGGCTTTTCGTTTTTGAGCTAGGCTGTTCACATATACACATCTATTTCTTTGAAAACTCAGATTCGAAAATTTTTACGACCGCAATACTTATTTCATATTATGTCTATAGGTAAGAGAAAGTTAAAATCCTTTATCTTTTCATTGAAATATTCTTTACTGTTTTTGACAATTTATTTATTATCATCTGTTTACGATAATTGAAATATAAAGTTAAATATAGCCTTTTATGTTCATTTGTTATAGCCTGTTTATGTTCCTCATCGTCTCCAGGAAGGTCTTTTGAGGACAACATCTGATATATTTTAAGCTAATTTGCGTTCGAGATTACCATTTAAGCTCACAGGCGAATCGCATTTTCCAATTAGTTAGATCTTTTTTATTTTTAACTAATTCATTTAGAAATTTATTGGTCTCTAACAATATATTTGATACTTCCTTCTAACTTTTTAATCTTAAAGCGGATTTTTGTGGTGAGTAAGATTCCGCTGATATTCTAATAACATTCGCCGGGTTTATAGCTCGGAGTAGGATGAAATGAGAAATGATTCTCATTCAATTGTCAGGTGTTTTACAGCCTTGAATAGTTGTTCCAGAGCTTTCATCACTTTCTTTCAACATTAAAATTGTTATGAGTAGTAAAATACTATTTAATTAATAATTTAGGTTTTTTTTTTACTTGCGTTCTTCGACAATTGTATGTTTTAATATTGCATTTTTAATCATAATCAACATTATAAAATACCTCTAGTTCATGATGAAATTTTCTTTTTTTTTTTCTGCTTTTACTAGTATTTTCTGAATTCGAGTAGATTGTAAAGTACACACTAATAGACATTTTGCGCGATTTTGGTCTCAAGGCATCTACATAGACAGATCTATAGAGCAGTCCCCGTCTATGGGCCTGTTGCGATAGCAAAAATCGCAGGTCCAAAGTCTACAGACCGTAATGGAAGACCGTATGTAACGTTAGAGATGTTTAGCAACATTTTGACAGTGTCACTCGGCGTCTACAATTCAGACAGGACCCGATCTATCTCCAGCCACCGAGCGGTGTCGTAAGACGTTTATCCCTCCAATCGTCAGAAGAAAATCTCCAAAATTAGTTGGCGTCAGCCGGGAGAAATTCCGAAAACCCATAGCGCCTTCCAGTCGTAATTTATTTATTAATGTATTATCGAACATAGACACTTCTCACTTCGGGCGTCCACTAACGTTTAATTTTTCGCATTCTTTCACTTGTAATTAGTACTGAGTAGAAACTCAATCCACACAAAACAATTTTAATCAATTAAAAAACTCACATCGTAATGTGGACGCTAGACGAGACAAAGAACGGTGTCTCTAGCTGGTACATAGACCATGTCTGGAGAATGTCTGTCTATATCGTATATATCGCGCAACATGGTCTACTAGTGTGTAATAGACTTTAGCAACGGCAGTAAAAGTCATGCCATCAAATTGATAACGGAACGGCATAAATTAAATTTTGAAGTACTGTCTAAAATCTCATAGCCTCTTAAAATTATAATCTAAATATAATACTCTATTCCATATGTCCACTGCCTATCACATTTAACAGCAGTAATATTCTCAACAATTATTTATACTAATTTTATTTTTTAAATGGAATTTAATGAAATCGGCATTTGCTAATTTCTACACTATTTTCTAAGTAACTCCAACTTTGAGAAAACTTTAACGATAGGTTTTCAAATTATAGGCTTGTAAAGAACAATACGTTTGTAAATACAAAAGCGGAAGTATATTTAGAAAATAGTGGATGAAATTAATACCTACTTAATTATTTGTTTATCTATCTTCACTCCGAAATTTGGATTAAATCGAACGAGAGGTTTTAGAGATATAGCCGTATGAAGGAAAATATGTTTGCGAATTTATATGAAAAGGTAACTTTTTACCAGTATCCAACTTTGAGCAAAATCAAACGAACCGTTTCTGAAATATGGGCCTATCTCGGAAAATACATTTACGCGAAAGTGTTAAATAGAATGTAATAAATTTGATTCTTAATATTTGAAAAACAAAACGAGAGTGGAAATTTTTATTCAGATTACAAAATTCTTTTCAACCTCTCACAGGAATACAAAACTGTCCTTCTTTCGGCAGTGAAGAAGAAAAAATACTAAAACAATGAATTAACAATGAAATTAATAAATATAGGGGTTCATATGAATTTGAAATATGTGAAAACAAGGCTCAAGTGCACAAAATTCAGGTGTCTAAAGAAATAGAGATCGACAATCGACTTTTTTACATTCGCACGAATATAAAGGAGGACGGGGGGAAGGGAGAAGTGGCAATAATGAATGGCAGTGGCAATGGCGTGGCCGGGTGGGCTAACGCATGTGCAAACCACCGCGAGTGCCCGGCAACCAGATAACTAGAGTTATGAGATATTAAAAAAAATGTAGGAGTTCGCGTCCCGGTGCCGGAAGGGATTTTAAATTTCCCGCCATCACCCCTCGGAACGGGAAAACCCCTTATAACCTAAAAAGTTGAGGGAGGGGAAGACCAAAAAAAATAAATAAATAAAAAAAAACGTATAAAGGAGGAAAATTAAGGATACAAAAATCAAACATTTAAAAAAATAACTTATAAAAATTTATTTAAATTAAGTTGTACATTTTCCTTTCGTGCTGGGGTTTCTATCCTTGCCTTGGAGCGCCAATTGGGAATCCTCTCTCATCGTAGTCTTGTTGTGGTTGAGAATTAATTATTTCAAGTACCCTGAGGATCTCTGGTGGGATTGGCGGTGGTGTGGGGAGGTGAGCGCCTTGCGGCTGGAATCCACCATCGTCGGAAAGGTACTGGAGGCTGATGACTTGGCCATCGGGCGCAGTGTAGCTGAAGGCTCCTTGGGCAGCTTGGCCTTCGTCGGGGGTACCAGGGTTCTTGAGGTAGCCTTGCTCCTGAGCCGAAGTGCCGTCCCCGCTCTGGTAGCTGCGGAAAATTCCAAATTATTTTAATGTGAAGAGTGAGAGCAGTATGGAAGGCTAGATAGCATTTTTATTTATTCATTTACAGTCCATTAATTCCATAATTATGATTATTTCATGGTTAAATTCTAAAATTAAAATACCAATTTACTTTTGATTCTTCAAGCAGTCTCGTTTTTTTTTTTTTTAAATTCGCTAAAATTTCATGTTGAATATAAGATAATTTTTATTACAGGTTCTCTAATAACAAATTTAAAAAATACAATTTGACAAAATGTAATTATTATTTATTTATTATCTATTTTTAGAGTATGACTAATTTTGGTTTATTATTTACTATAAAGGACCATTTATTAATCGTCCAAAAAATTAAAAACTTAACTCCTCTCAAAATTTGAGGTTTTACTGTTAAGGATACGTAGAAATAGAAAATTGAATTAAAAAAAGTTTGTCCGATTTTTTTCAGATTTGGAATCAAAGTCAGAGGACACTTAAGTATGACCCTCAAGATGGCACATGTAAATCGAATGTACCAATTTCAATGAAACTTGGCTAAAGTTTTCTATTTCGAAACCTTTGAAATTTATCTATATAACATATAAAGAAGCTGGAAAAAATGTTATGATGGGTGGTACAATTAGATTTCCAAATAACTGGAGAAAGTCTCAAAATTGAAATCGGACAATTTGGTGTAAAGAAATGGTGTTTTAAATATGTTTCATATGTTCTACAGCAAAGCCTATATCCTTATTTTTGGTTTTTAATTTTTTTAAAGCGTTACATCAACTGAAGTTATGTTTTAGATTTTTCTTGACAAATTACTTACGATAAAATAAAAACCTTTTTAGGCCAATATTAGGAATCATTTTTTTTTTCCTTATGTTACAAAGAAAGTGGTGTTACTTTTGAAGTATAAATTGTTTGGATATAATAAACTATTGTGTAATAATTTCCAGCTTTTAAAAATTGAAATGTTATTTTTTTTTTTAAAGTGGTTTTACTAACATCTATTGTAACTTAAACCAGAATTTTTGCTATATATTTTTGACTAATATCTTCAAAAATGCAGATCTCTCTCTACCAAATTATTAAGTTCCGTCAAAAACTTAGTAAATGGCATCATCTTGTTGTAATCTACAACTTTTTTATTTACGAAAATTTTCTAAAATTAGGGGTTTTCAATCTGAAAATGGGTAAGCTTTGAAAATTTAATGAGGTACTAAAAATTCATGAACACCCATTTGCATTCTATATGAATTGATTGAATTCAATATTGTTAATAACCGAAAAACAGATAATGGATCCAGTAAACAGTAAATCTTACTACTAATACAATACATTGAAATAATTTCTCTTAAGGGCTATAAGACATGATACGTGATTCGCCAAATAAACTTTTGTTAAAATTAAAATATAAAATAACTAAAAATGGATTGATATTGTAATCAAAGTTTACAATTCACACATCTTTGTTTTCGTTCAAAATTTAACATTTCGTTCTTTAAATATGCCAATGTTAATGTTAAAGTTTCTCTTTATGTTGGTAATAATTAGAATACCAATTTTATTAGATTAAAACAAAAAAACGCTGCAAATTATTTCCAAATAATTATACATCTAAAGTATCATTGCTTTCCTAGTGACAAAGAAAAAGAAATAAATGGTGATTCCAATTATTGGACTAAACATTTTTTTTTTTTTAATCATTAGTAATATGCTAAAAAAATTAGCATTACTTCAGTAACACATTTAAAAATCAAAAACCAAAACAAAAGATATGTAACAAAAGTAAAGGACCTTTGCAGTAGAACATATAAAATCTAGAGACCATATCTTTGAACCTAATCGCCTGATTTTAACGATTTATTTTTTGTTTCATAGAAAATTCCGTAAAATTTTGAATAACCATATAAAATATCAACAAGAAGTGTATACTTTTTGGATTAGTCTGAATTTAATGTTACCATCCCTCGTAACTTTTTTTTCAGCTTATTTTCGTTGAAGTATGTTGCACAGATAAATCTAAAGGGCATAGTGAAGAAGACTTTTCAAAGTTTCTTTGAAATCGCTACATTCTTTTAGGCGCTACAGTCTATGGAAACGCAGGTTTCCTTCGGTCGCCATCTTGAAAGGAAAAGGCGTATAATAATATCGATGAAGGAGGATCATCCTCGGGTGACCTCCAATTTTAAATTCAAATTTGAAAAAAAATGGTCGAGTAGTTTCGAACAAAATGTGCGGTCGGCGGATAGACAAAACAATTTTTATTCGTTTTTGGAATTCTACGTATCCTGAAACGCAAAACCTCAAATTTTGAGAGGGGGTCAAGTTTTTGAATTTTTTGTTCGATCACAATGGTTCATTATTGGAAATAATAAACCAACAACTGTTACAGACTTCAATTTATAAAAATAGCCGAATTAGAGGTGATGGTGACTCAGCTCGTTTATATTTCACGCCAGCTGTTACGTCGACAGTAAGAAGATTCTTACGACCTTTGTCATATTGATTTGTCAGTAATATTGACTGCAGTAAACGACTTTCACGCTGAAACTTAGGGCCTAAAGGTCGTTACTGTGTTGGTCCCGCTTTACATAATGAGCGCTGGGGATATGACCACTCAAATCCTCAGGGTTTTTCTCAAATGTCAGAGGTGTTGCGCTAGCCGAGGAGGTCAATTGTAACTCCTATCTTCTTATGCCAGTCTTCACCAGGTGATAAGAAGATAGGAGAAAAAGAGAAGTCTATAAATAGACATTTGCAGTAGTTACCAACCGACTCATAAACTTTTTTTTTTTAAGCAGAAAATTACATCAACATTTATTGTAATTTCAACAAGAGAAAGTATGATTAATAAGGATTAATTAAATATAAATGAAACATTCATAGACGAAGAATCTCGTTGGTCGTGAAGAACGAATTTTTTTATAGTCAGTTATATTAGAAATCAACATCAAGTCATCAATTCCAATATTTTATATTTCTACATTTTCAAAATCAACTTTATGATTTTTCAATATTGCAAATTTAACTGAAGCTGTAGTTTTTAAAGTAAGTAATGCTCATTTCAATTATTTTAATGTAAATTTAGTGCAAATTTTGTGCCCTTTTTAGTACATAATGATTATTTTATATATTACATTATTTTTATTTCATATTCGTTAAATGATTAATCTATTATTATTTTATAATCCGAATAAAAAATTGCTATGGCTACATTTAATAAAAGCTCTTTTTGTATGTGATGTTATTCTTGGTATGCAGATTTATAAAATTGGATATTTTATTTTATTATTATTATTTCCATAACCTTATGTTTTTTTCTCTAAGCACATAATAAATAATATTTAAACACACCCTTTTCTTTTTTTATGAATTCCTCTAATTGATTACTTCTACTTAATTTTTTTGTGTTCCTATATATTATTTCGCTCATACTAGGTTACTACAAATTAATGATCATTTTTCGTAAATAAAAATTATTTAATTGTATTTTCTAAATATTATTTTTAGTTTGTTTCAAATATTTGATGTTTGTCGATTTTATAGTTTTAATAACAATTATTCAATAAAATATCACTGATTTTTTTGTTCAATGTGTTTCGATTCTATTGTGATTTTCTATTATATTGAAATCTAAAAATTTCATTCTATTGCGAGTAACATATTTTTCAAACCAATAGAAACAAAAATTTACAATAAAATTAATTTTAATATACACTTGAAAAAAAACATTTGTTTAAAAAACAGTCTATTAGCATGGTGTCTAAGGCAATCACACATTATATAACTTTGAAATAAGCCTGATGGTGTAGATGTGCTTATTTCGCAAACGGCAGTAGAACAATCAGCTCGCTACAAACCGACCGCTAATTCTTGAACGTAGATGAACGAGCGATCTTGATGACTTGTCCTGTTTATAAAACCGAAAACAGCTAAAATGGAGACAATAAAAAGTGGTAAATTCATCTCATCTCCAAAAAAAAAACCTGTACCACTACAACCCATTAAGGGTCTTGGGTTCAGTATTACTTAGGGAAAGCACTGTTTCTAGGTCCACGGTTGTGCAAGTAGGTGATTTGACCGAGATCACGGTCAACCGCCAGGTTTTCCCCCTTAATTAATTATTTAATTATGGGTACCCACTTTATAGAGGCTGGGTGTGCCCCAGGAGGGTCTACCGACCCAGAGTCCCTCCACGGCTAATGAAACAGATAAATAAATTTTGTGCCATGAGCCGGGGTTCGAACCTGGGACCTTTAGCTTTGGAAGCTCAGTACTTTACCAGTGAGCTACCCCACTCCCCTCATCTACAAAAATAGTATATAAATATGCAAAAAGTAAGTTTATAAGTTTCGGTGTAATTTGAGCCATTTAAGATATCCTATTCAGATACTAACAAAATATAATAGACACCTTACTCAACTCTCTTTGTTCAAATTATTTTACGAAAATCTCTTCCCCTCTACTACGATCCTTCAAAGAGAGGGACAACTCTACGAAATTCAGGTGGTCTCAGAAGATCTCGATTTCTACTATCAAGACAAAGATATGAACTATGTTTCATGAATGTAAAAAAATTGACATTCTTGCTAAACGGCAACATGAAATATTTTTTCATAGCAAAAATGCTAATATATGCTATATATTTTCATAAGTAATGAAAACATTACGTGAACCCCATATGAAAATATTTGGGTGTATTTAAGTTTACTTAAAAGTCCAAATGATAGTCAAGAATTAATGCAGCCTATATAAACTCAAATACCGGTTAAATGAGGACAAATATAATTTTTAAGAACCACTTAAGACAGTTTTCAGGCGATCGAGTTTGAGTAGGGTATGATAACTCTGCCAAATGATATGTTTTGCAAACAGAATAAATGTGAATGCGTAGTCATTCCAACAAGGAAAAGTCAATTTAGATAAATGACCAAAAAATTGGACAGCTTATTATTTAAGATTATGTGAAATGTATAAATTTTCTATGAATTCTGATTTTAATTTACATTTCACTACTAAATACCTGAGTTCGATACTTATATCTGCTACAGACTGTTACCTGAATTGGTACGTGCCGTCTGGGTTTGGTCCGTCCTGGCTCTGGGAGATGATGGGTACGGGAGTGGTGTACTGCTGCTGAGGTGCTGCCCAGCCCATTCCTGCCACCAGCGCTAGCAGAGATGCTTGCTAAATGGAAAGGAGAAATATTTTGAAATCAAAACAGTTTCGATCTCATACCAACATATCTGCGGATAATTTTAACGGAAAACAACAATATAAAATAAATACCAAATTATAAGTACATATATGTATAAGTTTAGATAGATAGATTGATTGATAGAAAATAACTTTAGATAGATAGATAAGGTAAATATTCTATATACAAAGCAATTAACACTATGACAAGACACTTAAAGCTTTTTGCACTGATAGCCCAGTATACATTTTTAAGAAAACAATAAAGAATTAAAAAATCAAAATATATTAAATTCTTTATTAAAATCAGCCTTGTGTTTCTGTTGAGAAAACAGAAAGCTGAATCTGACAATATAAAGTTTCTGATTAATATATAAATACGTTATCATTTAGCACTGATATTTGACAATGACTGGCATGAAAAAAATTATGTTCTCGAATGTTCAGCAACTATCTGACTGTTTTTTGGGATAGGAATTTGAATGTGGATATAGATGGAGAATGTGGAATTTTGATAGGGAGAGAATTCCAAAAATTGACAGAGCGAGCAATAAAGGAGTTTTGGAATGAGGCAGATCTGTAAGAAGGCATGTAAAGGTTAGAAGGTCGAGATCTTGTGGAAAGGGAATGGACTGAGGATTTGAACTGGAGAAGGTTGTAGGCGAAAGAAGGACGATGGTTGTTGGTGATTTGGTAGAGGAACGTACCTCGAAAATATTGTCTTCGGAAGGAGGGAAAAAGCCACTTTAACTCAGCGTAGTGGTGAGAGACATGGGAGAATCTTGGGGCCCCCATCACAAATCTTACGCGTTTATATTATCCGATTATTAATTTTAATAATTAACAACAAAGTGATGACTTGATAACCTCTTAACCACAGGGTTGTGATATTATCATTAACAACCTAAAATCACCGATATTACTGTCGGACAATCTGGTTGGGTGATGGACCGAATTTTTCCCATGTACGGTAATGATGAGCATTAGTATAACATTTAGATTTGTCATAGAATTTTAATATTCATCATGACACATCAGTAATCCGAATTTTCAACCATAATACAACTTTTCAAATCCGCAAAGTACAAATAATGAAGTACTGAAGAATAGTGCGAGTACGTGCTAGTGCATGTGAACATCCTAGCTCAAAACCGAGAAGTTGTACTAATTTGCATAACGTGGCCAATTATAAGTTACATCGTCGATTTCTTATAAAAATATCTACTTAAAAAATTGGTTATTCGTTTGCCTCTTTCGGTTAATTGGATGAACAACTACCGTTCAGTAAAATATTCACACATGTATTCTGTAAGTTTTTTTGTTGTACTTCCCTCTAATAGAACCTCCGATGCATCGATGACGAAAAATACATATATTAATACATGCTCTCTTGAAAAGAAGTGATTTACACTTCTTACAGAACACCGAATCTAAGCCTGAGATACTCCTCCTATTGTTTCGCTTAAACCGATTCAGTGATATGCAACTTTATATTAGTAATTTCAATTTTTTTCTTAATTTTCTTGAAATAAATGTAAGATTTTTCTTAATTAGACTATCCAATGTCAGTCAGTAGCTTACGCCCTTACCATTTTCATTCGATTCTTCTCAATATGTAGAATAATTTAAAAACGTGAATTTTGATCAATTAAAACTCGTATTAAAAAAGCAAAAAAATCTTTGTCATTTTCCGAATAAGAAAAAAATTATTCATCAGTTAAAACTGAAATTAATCCAACAATAATTGAGGATGTCATTGACATATAAATTGTAAAATCTCATGATTTACCAAAACTATATTGAAAAATCAATTTAAAACGTTCTGATAAAAATATTGAAGTACTCACTAGGAACGTTCTCATGGTTGATTTGTGCTTTGAACTGTGATGGGGTGTTACTCCGAAGGCTTTATATAGTGGTTTCTCTCCCCCACTACTGCTCCGACCAACCCTTACACAGTTCAAGCATTACTCGCTTCTTTCTGATGTCCTGATGGAATACGCTTAGTATAAGTTCCTAAAATTGTGTTTGTATTTCTAACTCTAAACACTTCCTGAAAAAAAAAGTGGTCGTTGTGCGGTGATATTATACTAAAATTCATCTATTAGTGACAGGAAAATAAAAAACGTAGAAAATTCTGTTTATATTTAAATCATCATTATCTATGACCATTGAAAGGTATTCATCAATATAAGCTTCTTTTTAAGAAATTTGTATTTCAAATTGTCCTCATTCATAAATAATGAGATTCGTCTTCGCCCTACAACATACGTTTATATTTAAAATTATAAAAACTAAGGAATGATTATTTATTTATTTTTTTTTTTATCTCTACTTCCTTGTCTTTTAGGCTACACTGGTATTTCGGGCTGGGGGAGAGGGTGGAGGAATTATACCCAGTCAAAAGTCCCACCGGGCATCGGGATTTATACTCGTAATCATTTTTCCTTCTCTAACTTCGGTTATCAGATTGTCGGGCAAGGCGTGGTGCTGTGCACACGCATTAGCCCGCTCGGCCACTCCGCCCTAACTAAACGTCACAAGCACCAACTCTATTCACTTGCAAATTATTAAAATTCAAACTTCCCCAAAGGAGTTTCTTTAAGAACAACTCACCTCGTATACGAATTTTGAATTCTCTACCCCGATTCGACACTTTGAAACCCCTAAAAAGCACTGCTTTGACAAAGCATTAAAAAATGGCGCTTAATTCAAAGAAACCTTTGAGACTGCTAAAAGTCCTTTTTTAACAAGAACACAACTTACTTATAATAGTTATAACTTTTTTGGAGTTGCTCTAAAGATGTGAATTAAAGTGCCCATCCACTTGAACCCGATTCAAGGAATCAGTTTTAATATCAATTTAAAGGATTCAAGGATAAGGAACCCACAATCCCATATCTATCGGAGTGCACAGTCGATCGGTCGGATTGAAGAGTGCAGTGCACGCGCACCAGTACTATTTGGCGGATCATTCAGACGTACACAGTTTAAGTGGGCATCCGGGCTTACGGGATTGTTTTCCTAAAAAAAATAAATAACAATTTTCAGTTTATTTAATCTAAAGATGGCCATCACTAAATATGTTATTTTATGTATATTATATCATTGTAATATGTATATTATTCTGCAGTATGTTTTTGCATAAGTAGATTGTGAGTCGATGTTATTATTTGATTTTCATAGTACTTGTTACCTTCCAACAGAAAAATCAATCTATTTTTAAAAGAGCCTTAATGTTTTTTGACCTACTAATGTAAGTTTAAGTGACAAGTCCAGCTTAATTATAACGATGTAAGTCTAGTGATGCTACATCAGCAAATGTGTTGCCATCTTACTAGCTTAAAATTCTGCTAATGCCTACACAGTCAACATGCAATGGAATAGTGCATTCGTCGATCATCAATTGGGAGAGACTGACTAGATATGATCGGGAGAGGTAAATCAGCTAGTTTCTATTGATATCTCAGGAGGTATAAAGCACACCTTTGATTATATTGAAAAAATCATTAAAAATGAGAATCAACAGAAACTTACTTTAAAAAATAAACAATTAGATTTATTTCACTAATTGAATAAGGGCTAGATCAATTTTAGTAAGCTCAAAGCAGAAATGTTATCGCAGGATGAAAAAGAAATTCCGAAAATATCAATAATAATATATATGGATGTATACCGCATATTATATAGATATATTGAAAAGCTGAAGATTTCAGAAAATTTAATATCTAGCATAAAGGTCGTAAAAGGTAATGGAGAGTGATCAAAAACAAATGATTATTATTTTTTTAGGCAACATTATCTATTTTTATAGCATGGGAAATAAACGTTTCCATAAAATTTAAATGTAATTTCCAAATAAAATTTAAGATTTTTTCCAGTCTGATTTACAAAAATGTTTAGTGCACAACATTTTCATCATTTATATTATTTTTCTTAAGTTTGTATTTATAATCAAAGCAAAATTCTTAATGTTCATTAACTTTTCAAACAATGTCTACAGATAGAATGGTAGTTCGTGAACGATGTGAAATGTAACGTATCCGACTATTTTTGTTTTATACTGAACTCTGTTTTTACTTCAAATAAGAATAAAATCTAATGTTTGTTTCTACTAATTGTCATGTCTAGTTTTATTTAATAGTTGTCCATTTTATCTAAGGCGTCTGGGAGTGATGGACCGTACTATTATAACTTTAAAAACTGCATAAATTCAAAAGTTTTCTTTTAATTCAGTAATGTTTGTATTCTATCAAATTATTTTTTAAAATAATTAGTAAATTAATTGTTTACATTACGGTTTAAATTAAGAGAAGTGATTAGAAAATTAAGTTATTTTTTAATTAGAAAAAGATGCAAATGTAAAAAAAATCTACCCCTGCTTCTATGAAAACTACTTATGATATTATGATTAAAAACGATATGATTTTTTTTTTTTTTATGAAATAAAGAGACATCCAGAACAGAGAGCATTATCAGAACTGATTAAATAATCATGACTGACTAAACAAAATTTGAAACAAATAATGGAAATGTTTTCTTTCTCTGAATCCTCCCCAACAAGTGCCCTAATCTTTTTATTTTAACTTATTTATTCATAAATATTATAATCTGTCACAATTAAGGACATTTATAATAGTGTTCAGAGAGCACATTCACACTCTATTTATAATAAATAAAAAAAATTATACAGAATAATAATAACACTAAAAGTAAATCTATATAAACAAAATAACTAAACTAATCAAAATAACAACTAAAACACGATGATTTTCTGCCAAACACCCTAATATCCTTCCAAGACACGTTGTGTACAACTTGTAGACCAAATTCTCCACGCAGAGAGGCCAAGCAGTTTTTGTTTTAAATTTTGTTGCAGAGTAGCAAGTGTCATGGCCGCAAGTGCAGTATAACTCTCATGTCGCTCTGTATTTGTTGCTTAGTAATGTGCTCAAACTTCAAAGTTGTGGTGTAACACTTAAACAACAGTGAGTTAATAAGCAGTTTTACACTTTTAAGTTGACGTACACGCAGGTGAGGTACTATTTATTAACTATAAATAAGTGATAAATTGCTACTCATTTGGTTAGATCGAGAGGCCGTTAATTCCCTTACGTGCCTTATCATATTCTGATATGTTCACGGCCGGGGACTCTGTTTACTAACTTCCTTCAGTCATCAGGTCTTCAGTTCGAACCAAAGACATTATATATTTTTTTTTTTTCCAGAGACTGTTTTATTTAATTTAAATATTTATTGTAAGAAATGTTTTATTTTATTTCTGATTATAGTTATGTATATAGTTTATTTTTTTAATATTTTATTTCGTAATCTTCCATCTTTTTAATTGTTATATGTAGCAGTAGATATTTTTTTTGTTCTCTCTCTTATCATAATATGGAAGATATGAATTTAGATAAGAGTTCGTCAAGTGAAGATTTGGAGGACGAAACGCCGTTTTCTGAGGTTAGCGAAACGGATTCGCAGTATTTAAAAAGACGAACACTTCAAAAACGTCATCGAAACACTCCTCTTGGGTCGGGAGCTAATTCACCCAATAAGAAAAAAAACAAATCAGCTAAACCTAAACAGTTAGCAGAGCAAAATAAATCTAAAAAGTCAACTGAACACAGTAAATCCACTAAAACTAAACAATCAGCCGAGCAAAATATATCACCACCTCAAACCAGAAGCAAATCAATTACCATAGCATCAGAGCCAACTGCACCAACCACCAATAACACCAATAATCCTGTTTCCGTTAATAAAATATCAAGCAAAATTCCGGAGCCTCAAGAGTTTTCTGAGCCCGAGCCGCCACCTATTTTCATATCTAAAATCGATAACTTCGTTACATTTGGTCAAGAAATTGCCGGTCTGATTGGACAGACCAATTTCCGCTGTTTCTCCAGAGTTAATGATATCAAAATAAACACAAACTCTCGAGAAAATTACAAAACACTTATAAATTATTTTACGTCCAAAAACTATGATTTCCATTGTTACCAATTAAGACAAGAAAAGCCATACCGAGTGGTGTTGAGAGGACTACACTCAAGCACCCCAATATCTTTCATCAAAAGTGGCCTAGAAGAAATAGGTCACAATGTTAGGCACATATCATGCGTACTACACCCAACGGAAAAATATCCTTGGATTGAAGGATCTATCAGTAAGATAGGAACGGATAATGAGGAAGTATGTAGGGTGTAGGAATTTACGGAGTTTGTAAAGCAGTCCTGGGTGCCAGACTCGATCAAAAGCCTGTTCTACATCGAGAAAGACTCCCGTGCAGTACATTCCGCGCTCCAATGCAGAGGAGACAACATCCACCACACGATTGCATTGCTGGATAGTGGAATGGGATCTGCGGAATCCAAGTTGATGATCTGGGATAATGTGATTAGAATCTAGGATGGGGTACAGGCGTTTTAGGATTAGCTTTTCCAGGATTTTGCCTAGGATGGGTAAAAGGGAGATAGGGCGATAAGAGGATGGGTTTTCTGGGCTTATGTATCATTTTGATAATAGAGAATTTCCAAGGGTCAGGAAAGTATGTTGATCGCAGTACAGCATTATATATATAAGTAAGAAATAGAATGGCTTTCCGAGGAAGGAGATTTAGGATCTGGGATGTAATTAGGTCGTGTCCAGGAGCTTTTCGGGAAGGTAACCTTTGAATGATGTCGGATATTTCTGAAGGATGAAAGGCTTTAGGTGGAAGAGACATTTGGAGTGGGATATCCAGTTCTGCTTCAATACATTCAAGGTGATTTGGGTTAAGAATATCGGGGTGTGGATTAAAGGTTTTAAAGAGGTGACGAGCAAAGATTTGTGATTTTTCTTCATCGGATTTTGACCA